CCTTTGGGACTGTCTTCCAGGAACTCTTGAAATAACCCTAGACATGGCGTGGAGAACAGGATGACATAGAATATATCCAGTTCATGTCCCAGCAGTGGTGGTAAGGAAAAGAAATCTTGGTGCCTTTGGGTGCTGCTCTGGCAGCTCTGTAATGATACGAGGCATTTCTAAGAGAATAAGGTAACATGGTCCACCAGGAGAGATGGGAGCAGACCCTGGTGGCTGAGTACATATGTCCCAGCTTGCAGGAACATCGGCGCTTTGAGGTGCTGGCAGTGTTGGTGGTGCTCAGTGTTTGTGCAGGATGGGGTCACAGCAGTTTCTTGGTACTGTGTGAAAGAGTGAGCTGCTCTGGGTGGTTTTCGGTATGACAGCTCCACATCCCTCTTGTGTTGTTGCCCCAGAGCTGAACACAGCACTGCAGGGGATGATGCTCTCTTCTTTGACCAATACTTAGTACTGTGAAGTCTTAAAAGCAATTTTGAGGGAGCAATTGTTATATCGGTATAAAGTGCCATCTACTCCAGTGATCAACTGATTGATGTTGACCCCTGGTTGGGACCACGAAGGGTGAAAGTTCTGGTGGCAGTGATTATGAAAGGACAGAGGCCACAGTTCCCAGGAAGGAACGTCGGGGAAAGAGCAGAATAAAACCAAAAGAGTTTGAGAGGCAGACTTCAATGAACCCTGAGAACTGGTGGGAATCATCCTGGAGGAGAACAGTTTAAGAGCAAACAGTTTAACTGGCAGGATTTTAAACCCTATTTAGGCAGAAGCACAAATTGCAGCAATAAAAAGCAAAGATGTAAAGAATAACAAGAAACCAATCTGCTCTTCTGCAACTTTGAGATCCTCCAGCTGAAAATGAAATGAAGAGCACAAGAACACAGGGTCATAATCAGAAAGGTGAAGGCAAACACACATCTGTGGCAGTGTTCAAGGCCAGGTTGGATGGGGCTTGGAGCAACCTTTTCTAGTGGAAGGTGTCCCTGCCTGTGGCAGGAGTTTGGAACCGAATGAGCTTTAAGGTACCTTCCAACCCAAACCATTCTATGAGCCTATAATTTTAAGAGGGTATAAAGCAGAATCTGGTTTATGGGAGGTGGATGCACTGCCCTACTAAAACACACACCTTCACAGAGATCTGATTGACTGCCAAGGACATTCTGGTAGTTATGGCAAATAATACTGGTAGATCCAAGGTCTGGTGGGAATGCCAATAAGGTGGATGCTGTCTTGCATCCAGGGGAGATCAGGAGTCAGCTGGGAGCTTCCTGGCATGTTTCATGTTTTGCATCATTCTATGGTGGTGGGGTGCTGTGCAGTCATGGTTTGTCTCTGCAGTATCGCATCAAGCCTGTTTCACACTTGGGATCTTTAATAAAACAAAGGTGTTCTGGTGTATGTGGGTTGAATTTTTATGTTTGCTTGTGTTATTTAGGAAGGGAAGGAATACTCTGCGCAGCCATCTCCTCAAGGAGGGTCACAGAGCCTGCAGCAGAAAGGGATGGTGACAGTGGAATTCTGTTTGTACCAGGGATTGTGAAACAATCTCATCAGGCACAAGGTATCACTTCTCCCCTGCTCCCCTTTAGAAGGGAAACTGCTCTTTGCCAAATAAGCAGCTTTGTAGACTTGACCTGGTATTTTTATTGAACAGTTAGAATGTGTTAAAAATTCAAGGACTGTTGGACACTGGTGGCTGTCCAGTGCGTATCAAAAGCCTATTGATTTTCTGCCAGCCTTACCCTATTAAATATACAAGGTACAAGTTCTGTAGTTAAACATGTAAGAGTTTTGTAAATGCCTTTTATGGCTGGTATTCAGGAAATTTTCCATGTTGGGAGACAAAAAAAAAAAGGTGTGTGTGTGTGAGATTTACAAAACAAAGCTGTTTTAGCTTAAATGATCTTTGAAACAGTAAATTGGTTTGAGTGTAGCATTTGAATCCTTGCTCACAAGATAGGGGAAGAAATGTTTGGGCCAAAGGACTGTTTTTATTGATGCTGGGTCTAGAATTTGTGTGTTTTAGCAGTGTGGAGCTGCTGGTCTGTCTCACTTGGAGGAGTCTTGATTATTCAAGGATTGTTCAGCCTGGAGAAGAGAAGGCTTCCAGGAGACCTTAGAACAGTTTCCAGTACTTAAAGGGGCTATAAGAATCATTCTATGATGAGTTCCATGCACTGCAGTAAAAATGAGATCTTCTTTGAAGGAACAGAAGAATTCTTGGGGACTGTCTTATCATGTAGGATAGCCTAGAGGGTAGCCCCCTGTCCTGTAAGAACTCCTGTGCTTTTAGAGATGTAATCTTTTATTGTTGCCAAGGTTTGTACTGTTTTTGAAGGTATCAGTTATTGTCACATCATTCTCTTAGGGTAATGGATGGGGAGCCATCTTGCTGATAGGGAGCTAAGGTGGGACAGTGGGAAGTAGTTTATTTGATGGATACATTTTCTAGGCAGAGCCTGGTAAATCTGTGCGCCCTTGCGAAGGGCACACACAGAATAGAAACATAATTCAAAGTTATGAGATGGGCAGTGTCTGATAATACAGCCCTGGTTCCACTTGGGAAAAGTGAAAACCCAAATAAAAATGTATAACCTGAACTGGGAAATTCAAAGACTGCCTGTGTGTCTTGCGGTAAGAGTAGATAAAACCAGTTCCTTGTCTCCCCAGTCACCCAGGCACTTGCACCTGACCGGTACCCAAAGTCACCAACCAGTCTCCCTAGGCAGATGTGCCAGATGGTGCTTTTTTTTTATCCCCAAATTAAAGCACACCAGTAGGAGAGCAGCTGGAATCAGTTCTTCAAAGGAGCTATGCTGATCAAAGGAGGCTTGGCTGCATGCTCTGCTGAGATCTGAGCTTGGCAGCAGCTGAAAACTGTACACCATGGCCTCTTGCAGAGGCTTCTCCTTCTTATGGTTCCAGGCGCCTGCATTGTGTTGGACCTATTGCATGCCCTCCAAAATCTGCCCAGGCTCTGACTTTGCTGAAGTGCATTGACTGAGGACAGGAGGAGGCTCATCTGCAGGAGCAGAGGTTGAGAACTGTGTGTGTTCTCAACCAAAAGTGCAGCCAAAAGTACAAGAGAGTTCACACACTCCCTGAAATGCCCACTAATCCTGTTTAGTTTATCCCTGTCCATCTTCTGATTTGTGTAGTCAAACAATTCCTACAAAACCTCTCTGCAGTGTATGTCCCATATGCTACATTTACTCTAAACTGCTTTGAGAAAGTGACTCTCAAACTACGTGCTGCTGGAATTACTTTCTGTTTGCTTCTAAAGCTGGCACATGGTATTTGTCATTGTCCAGTCACAAGATGCTGAGTGAGAGAAATTAATTAAATCCAAAACCAATTTACAGTAGCTTTAGGAAAAGGAAAGTTATCCTTTAATCTCAGTGCGTGGTTGAGATGCTGCTTTCTTTTCAAATGGAGTTCTCATTTAGTACTGTCAAGTTTTTGTGGCATTAACCATTAGTCCTGTCAGTTTTTTCAGGGCTGAGCCTGGCTGCTTTAACATGCACCGAGTTCTGCTCTGATCACAAACCAGCTTTTCTACGTGAGGCTGAAGCAATATCCACCAACACCTCTTTTTATCTCGGCTTTGCAGCATAGCATATAATTTTCTGTCCTGCCTGAGCTCCAGCTTCTTGGCAGCACGAGGTGAGCTGAGGACCCGGTTTCAAACTCAAGGCTTTGGTTTCTTTAAAACAGACCAATCCCCAGTCTAAACCCTCAGATATTGTCCGAGTACATCAAGGCACGTCAAGGAAATGTGAAGTGACATACTTGGAACAAAAGCTTGTTTGTAGTTAGCTGATTTCATATCTGAGCACCTGGTTTGATATAGGATCACAAAACAGTTTGGTTTTGAAGGGACCTTCCAAACTCATCTTGTCCAACCCCCTGCAATGAGCAGGGACATCTTTAACAAGAACAGGTTGCCCAGAACCACATCCAGGAATGATGCATCCATCACCTCTCTGGGTAATCTGTGCCAGTGTTTTACCACCCTCATTGTACAAAATTTGTTACTCATACCCAGCCTGAATCTCCCTCTTGTAGTTTAAAACCATCACCCTTCATCTTGATGCAACAGGCCCTGCTAGAAAGTCTCTCCCATCTTTCTCATAGGCCCTTTTTAAGAACTGAAAGGCCCCAGTGAGGTCTCCCCAGAGTCTTCTCCAGGCTGAACACGCCCACCTCTCTCAGCCTGTCTCCAGAGCAGAGCTGCACCAGCCCGCTGATTGTTTTTGTGGCTCTCCTCTGGATCCTCTCCAACAGGTCCATGTCTTTTCTGTACTGAGGACTCCAGAGGAGTATTTGCCTCTCCCCTGCCACTTGGGTACAACACACGGGTAAAACACATATAGACAGCATTTTCACATGGATGCTGCAGTTGAGCTCCTGGGGTTTTCCTCTTCTCGAAACATCTCTTGCTGTTCAGGATGGTGTTATGTTTTGGGTTTTCTTTTCAAATGCATCCTATGTGGAGTTGCATTTCACGTGATTGCCAGTATGGATTTGGACCTGGTTGTTGGTGCTTTGTGTGGGGAGTGTGCTCAGCTTCTTGGGGAGCTGCTCTCTGTGGGGTTGCAGGACAGTGGGGGTCAGCAGCAGACAGACATACCCTGGTTTTCTTTTTCAAGGTAACTATGTGAAATGGCATTAAACTGGCTCCTTTGTTTCTGTCTCAGCATTCAGGAGGCTTCACTGAGGTGTTAGCAGTGGAAAGATTGACTCAAACATTACTAGAAGGTTACTTGCAGTTGTTAGCAGGGCTCCAAGTATCTTTGTGTATTGCTGTGCTGTGGGTTACTGCAGAGCTCTCTTGGTGGACACTGGCTGTGCTCTGGTGTCCCCTCTCCTTCAGGAGCACTCCAGCTGGTTTTGCTCAGTCTTCCTTGTGCCAGGGTTTATTTTAGATACAGATGCATGGTTTGGGTGGGGGTGTTAGTTGATTTAAGCACGTTTTTCCTTCTGTTTGCAGGCATCTCAGGAGTACAAGCAGCTCGCTTTGAGGAAGCAGTGACTGCAAAGCATCTGCGCACTGTCACTGGTGGAAGAGCCCATCATGTACCTGGAGATCAACTGGTTTGTGAGGCTTCTGCACAAGCACAGCATCTCTGCTTTCCTGGTTACAAATGCACAGTTCCCAGATGAGATTAGGTAAGAGCTGGACAAAATACCTACCTACTAAAACATTTGAGTTTAGACCTGTGTTTTAATTCCATTTTATTGCTCATCAGTCAGCTCTGCACTGACAATAAAGAAGCCCACTCGGCATCCATTTGATTTTAACCTTCATCTCCCTGTGCTCTTTCTCATCTCTTTCTACCACTTTGATTTTTCCTTTCTATATCTCTTAAAGTGTGTTTACTTCTGAAAGGGAAGAGGATGTAATATAGTACCTCCCGGAGGTGCAACGGAAGAAGAGCAAGTGAGCTCTGTGTTGTATTTGGGGACATGGATGATAACTAGTACAAGTGTTTCTGACAGCAAGAGCAGGTGACTGAGCTTGTAAGTTGCCTTTTTTGTTGCTGAGCTTCTCTTGCGGTCTGATCTTTGTTCTAACTCCATAAGGCCAGGTTGGACAGGGCTTGGAGCAGCGTGGTCTAGTGGAAAGTGTTCCTGCCTGTGGCAGGGGCCTGGAGCTGGATGAGCTTTAAGGTTTTATCCAACCCAAACCTTTCTATGATTCTAAGACCAGCTGTAAGAGTTCAAACCCAAAATTTATCTCCAGTATCTCCAGCAGAACCTGGAGTGCAGGATGAGAAAAGGTGAAAAGCATGTAGTCCTCTGCCAAAGTGAGATGAGTAGTTTTTAATCTCCCTCTTGGGTGGATTTCAGCTAAAAAAGCTCAAAACATTTTAATGATCTCTGATGGAAGAGTTTTTACAAATGCAAAGAATCCCTGTGGCAGATGTTCTTTTGCATCCAGGCTGCTTTTAACAAAAGCATAGAATCCCAGTCTGGTTTGGGTTGGAAGGGACCTTAAAGCTCAGCCAGTTCCAGCCCCCTGCCATGGGTAGGGACACTTTCCACTAGAGTATGGTGCTCCAAGCCCCTGTGTCCAACCTGGCCTTGAACACTGCCAGGGATGGGGCAGCCGCAGCTTCTCTGGGCACCCTGTGCTAGTGTCTCCAAACAACCTGAAGCAATCTGAAAATCTGAAGCAATGCAGCAAGGAAACACAGCACATGGTGCGAGGGGGTTGGGAACCCATCACAATACTGTTAAATGCTGCTGCTGCTGAAGTCCAGCCCTGGCGTTACTGAGCACATTAGTGGAGCTGAGCACAGAGTGGTTTAGGTTACTTAGGTTGTCTTGTCCGCTCCATGCCTCTCTTTATTAGCACTCTGTGGTGGTACTTCCTTTTCACTTCCTTCTCGTGGTCTGAATTTGGCACTGAGCGGGGAGGGCAATGCAATTTTTGAGCAAGTAATTATACACTACAAAGGCATTCCAAATGATTGAGTAATTGTGTAATCAAGTTACTTTGTCATGTATTATGTGCCTGAGAGACAGAAATTGCTCTGTCCTAAAAATAGCAATTTAAAAAGAGAGCACGTGCTATATTTTGAAGCTGCATTTCTTAGGATCTGAGGAGTGTTTTTAAAAAGAAACAAAAAAGAAAGTGGTAAAATGCTAGTCTTGCTGTCTTAAAAATTGCAACTGAGCTTTGGCTCATCAAAGCAAGTGATTTGCTTAATATGGTAACTGAAGCCTGCACCATGCTCACTTTTCCACTGTCAGCAGAGGGGAGCTGAAGTCCTAAAATTGGCAGCAGGGCCCCTGACATCCAGTGCTATAACAGGGAGTGGGGCCTGGGGTTTGTGCTCATGTTCGGAGCTGGGCCTGTGGGCTCTGCAGCCCTCTGGCTGGGTCTGCAGCAGGTGCTGCCTGTGCCTTCTTCTCTTCTCCTCCTCCTCTTGTATTTGCACTTCAAGGACTTTTGGATTATCGGGACTTTGTATTTCCAGTCCAGGTTGGATGGGGCTTGGAGCAGCCTGCTCTAGTGGAAGGTGTCCCTGCCTGTGGCAGGGGTCTGGAACTGAAGGAACTTCCAGGTCCTTTCCAACACAAACCAGTCTGGGATTCTATGATTCTATGATTGCAGCTTCATCTGCCTGCAGGCACAAAAATGTTATTACAAAGTGAAGGAGGTTTTATAGCACATGAGCTCACATTGAGCAGTTACTTGGCTCTGGTCCTCTTCCTCCTCTTGTTTTTTATTAGTGGCTGTGAAGAAGAACCCTTGTGTATGGGTTTGTGTTTACAAGCATCAATAATTCTTGTAGAACATTCACTAGACTAGGTCTTAAAGCCCCGTGCTTATTATTGCTCATAAACAAATGCTCATTTTGGTGTTTCTGTTCTTTATCTCATTGACCAGGCCATCTCCTGTCTGGCTGGGGAAAAACCCTCATGGCTGGTAGGCGGCTGAGAACAATTTGCTGCTCTTCAGTTGTGTTGTCCTTCTCAGTCAGAAATGACTGCCCAAGTTCAGATGTGGTAAACGCAGTGAATTTGATCTCAGCTGGATTGGAAATTACAACCAAAAAGTAGGAGAGACACTGGAAAATCCATCCTGGTACTATGCAACAATATTTTCTGTTGAGTATGAAATGTAGCTGTGTTCCAGGAACATCTGTTTGTGCCTCTTCTCCTTGTTCCCCTTTGGCAAAGCATGCATGAGGTCAAACTGGCTCCAGTTCCAGCCATGGCAGAGCCCTGTGGACCTCTCCATTTCAGAGCAATGTGGGGGTAGAAATCCCTCCCTGGGATCTTTTCCAATTCCTTAATTTTCTTCAGTACAACAGTGAGTCTGGCTCTTGCCTGTCCTGAGGATTGAGATCCTCAGAGAAGAGGTGACTTTTCCCAGGTCACGTTTTGAAAACACTCGCTCCATCTTCTGTGGGGGCTCTTTTAATTGGGAAAATGCAGCATTAAGTAAAGAAAGGAGTGTTTTGGCCATGGTCTTTGAAACAGAGTACTTCAATCCACTCACTCCTAGAACACATGATCATTTTGGAGGTTGTGGCTTTGGGCTGCCAGGCCAGACAAGCCTCTTTGCAAAACAAGTTGATTTTTTTTAATTTCTTTTTTGTTTAAAACCTAAAATGTTGTATTTATTCTGGGCTATTTCAGTCTTCAAAAATACATACAGAGAGAATACGTTCAGATACGTTGTTTGATTGTCTGTGCTAAGTGGATTTTCCTGGGTAGCAAGGGCTCTGCTTGGTCTCATTCTGGCCATTTGTCGTCCCTTTGTCACCTTTGGAGACCAGGGGGTGGTGTATTTTTAGGTGGCACTGTTTGGCAGCTGAATAATAGTTTCTAGTTTATGTTCATCTTCTCTAAAGAGCCAAATCATTTTGGGACCGTGGCCTGCTCATAACGATTGCAAAATGTTCTAAAACTGTGAAGAAATACATGGTACAATTAAGATGCTGTCATTCCATGGGGTGGAAGATGTCATGAGGGGTGGATGTGTGTCACACTCGCTGGTTTGATCAGTCTTTTCTGGGGTAAGGGCCCTCATTTTAGGTTGCTCCTCTTAATGTCCTTCATTATCCCTTTGCTAATGGGCTGCAGTGACGCTGCTTCTCCTTTACACCCTTGAAGTTTACGAAAGGGATTAGACTCAACCCAGGCTCTTCACACTCCAGAGGAGGTTTAATCTTTTTAGAAGTTCCTGCTGTTGGGCTCACAGATGCTGTGCTCACTGGCATTGTGTGACCAGAAAGACTATACTGAAGGATTTATATGAAATAAGAGCCTTGGAAGTGGAAGGAGAACATGTTGGGGGATTGTGTTTGGTTTTATTTTCTGAACAGCTTTGATTTCCCTTCCAAAAATCGTTTGACTGATGCCAGCTGCAGGCCAGGTGTGAGTTCTGTGTGTCCAGTAGAAAGTGGCTGAATTATGGCTGCATTTCTTTTGAACAGGATTATTTCTTCATCAGCCAGAGCAAATAGAGCTTGGGGAAGGGACTTTATGGTATCTATGGGGAGAAGCAGAGCCTTTCAGTGCCTCTTGCTAACCCCTGGCAACCTGCATTAGGAAGCCTTTCTGCATGTGTTGCAGCTACACTGGAGTGAAATATGTTCTAGTTCAGTAAGGAACAGATAATTGAACCATCCACCAAGGCCTCTGTGTGTAATGTTCTTAGCTTTGGGATGTATTTGTGGAAAGTTAAGTTACAATGTCTTGCTATTAAGATGATAGTCACTTGATGGAGATGAACCACTGGACTTGGATAGTTTTCCTTGTAAATACTGGGCAGTTGCTGTCGCTACTGGAGCAGCAGAGCAGCTTGTTTAGAAGTCCTGTATTTTACGTGTGCTTAGTAGGAAAACACAAATTGAGGTAGCAGTGATGGCTGAAAACAACAATTGCCTTCTCCCTTTTATTTCCAAGGAACCTTGAGCCAGTAACGCAGCTGTATGTCAGCGTGGATGCCAGCACCAAGGAAAGCCTGAAGAGAATTGATCGGCCCCTCTTCAAGGATTTCTGGCAGAGGTTCCTGGACAGTTTAAAGGCCTTGTCTGAAAAGGTACCCAGTAAAGAGTGCGCTTTGGAATATTCTTTCTTCTGGGCCTTATCCACTCAGTACAAAAGGAGAAGACTTGAGAAGCTTAAGCTGGACCGTGGAGTGGGTTCTGGGTGTATTCTGAGCATATTTGCATGTTTTTTACGTTGAAGTGTATGAAGTCCAGCACGTTTGATCAGTTTTCCATATGGGGAGAAATGTAATGACAAAAAGAGAGCAGAATGTGTGTCAAATGGGACAGTAAACTCTGCTGTGACTAGAAGATGCTATGAGAGATTGAGGGATTATAAAACAGTAGATAATTTCCTGATGGAGCATTTACACTGCAAGCAGGCTGCTGAAGGAAAACTGGAAATCCAGGGAAGCTTAGGAAGAGTCATAAATCCCTGTGTGGCTCTTAGCACTGGTTCTCAAAGGATGCAGTAGATAAAGGACTTGACAATGTGTGTGCTGGTGTTCAATAGCTCCAGTTGCCCTCCTGCTACATAAAAATCTGCTTATTTCTGGAAGATTTACCTAAAATAACAGATCGGAGAGTAACAGCAAGGGTGACTCTTTGCACTCTCAGTGGTTTGTAGTAGTTGGTGTCTGTTGGAGACAGCTGAGCAGTGACCTGAAGGCCGATGGGATCACGGCTGCTGCTGTCAGCTCAGAGCATAGTCTTCCATTTAACAAGCTTTGTAGTAATTAATAAAGCACTCGTGGTCCCAGCATCGCATTAATTGGTAAGAACGGGGCTTCATGAGGATGTCTTCCCTGTCTTACGTACTGATAGGTAATATGGAAGCAAGTACTTTTGTTTGCTGATGTAGCAGAAGTTGACATGATACCTGATGAGATGAACAGACAAGAGAGACTGTTCCATTTGAATAATGAGATTTTCTGCCTTCTGAGATGACAGTGGTGGACCATTTTCTGCCAAATCCACATTAGTAGACCTGGGATGCTCAGTGTAATTGTGTGAGACTTTCTCCTGCAAATGCTGTGAGTAGCTTTATCAAAGCGGCCTGTGTGCAAGTGCTGGCTGATCTTGTCAAGCAACATTTCAGGACAAGCTCTGAGCTTACTGAAATCAGGTACAAATTTACTAAGTTCTCTGTGTGAGTAGAGGATGCTGTGGAAAGACAAGGAGCTAAATATTGAAGGCAAAAATATTGAAAAAGTCTTTTGGAAACTTGCTTTTGCCCACCATTTCTTTTCTTCTGTCCCTCTTGGCCCTGGATAGATATGGTTCATTCACTGCTGTGTGTTGTCAGAAATTCCCTTGCAAAGAATTGAAGGTGAAAGTATTGGCAAGTCGGTCCATACAGCTAAAAATACTCTGGTCAAGGTGAAGAGGAGAGGAAAGAGAAACTCAACTAGAAGGTGCCTTTTCTCCTCAAAGCAACCGCACTTTGAAGGGTCCTTGAAACACTAATAGCACAAAAGCCCATTAATAGTTGCTCCAGTTGGTTTGCTCTGCTCAGCTGCACATTGCATCATTACACAAGGGGGACGAAAGAAGCTGCTCTGTGTTAGGTTTTTCTCTTAAATGTTATGTGTGATTCTGGTACCCAGAAATTATGTTGAACTGCTTCCTGGCAGAAGCACGTTGCTTGGTGTTCACATGAGATGTTAAGCACTGCTCACTAGGACTGTGATAAGTGAAAGGTGCTGAAAGCTGGTGCTTCTTGAGAAATGTAGTTCCTGTGTCAGAATAGGTGGGGAAGTGCTAATGCATTGTGTTGGGGAAGTGATGCTAATGTATCTGGAAACAAAATACAAATCCCATATTTTCACATTGCCTGACAAACCATTCAGACTTATTCAGTTCTCCTGAGACCAAGACAAGCTGGCACTGCAGCTGATATGAGTCAGTGCTAATAAGCATCATGGAGAGGTTTGGTCTTTGCATTTAACAAATAAAAATGGACAAAGAGAGTTTTTAAAAGCACAAATTGTACCTTGCTGGGCTTGCCTTTGTGGTGGTTGGCAAGTGCTGTGCCTGCACAGCTACCCTGATTGCTAGTGTGCCTCCTGTGGCTCCATGCTTGGTGCTGCAGGGATGAGTGGTTAAAGACAGTTTCTGCTGCAGAATGTTGGTAACAGAAACAGACAAGTGGGAGAAAGGAAGAGGACATGCTTCAATGTGAGGAAAGAATAAGGATGTCCTTCTTGGACATCTTCCTGCCACCCAAAAGCAAGTTGATTCTTGTTAGGAATAGAAAGGGAAGGACCTGGCCAAAGAGATAGGGTTCAAATCTCTTGCGTTAGTGAAGCAGTTAAACTGATAATGGATTTCAGGGTTTTAACTGAAGTTCTGCACAAGTTCTTGAGCTTTTAGTAAAAGATTGAATTTAATAGTGAATTTTTCCCAGTATGATTTGACAGCATCATGCGGCATGTTGGTGATGAGTTGCTGCAGCATTTCCAAAGGAAGTTCAGGAATAAAAGTTAAAATGTTTTGGTGATATTTCTTTCTGCAGCGAATAGCAAGAAACCTCCTCTTTGTCCACTGCTATTTGGAGCAAGTTTTATCCTTTCTAGAGTGATTCTCATCGAGATGATTTTTGTGCTAGATTTTCTATGCTGAGAAATGTTTTTTTGAAAGAGGTTTTGTTAAGCAGCAGGTAGACTCCCAGAAGGCTTCACTTGTTTCTTGTCAGGTGTCTTCTGCCCTCCGAATTAAATTGAGAGCAAAAAAGAGAGACATTAACATGTGCAATTCAGATTGTGCCCTTTCCAAACGTCATCACATTTGAGAAGTCTTGTCTCATCCTCTGACAGCCTTGAGTTCATAAGAATAATTGAGAGGTGACTTGACTCAAGTGCACAGAGAATGGGAGTCCTTGTTCTCCTCATAAGGATGAGAACTGTTCCAGTGGCATTTCTTTCAGCCATTGCTGCTTCATAATGCTATATCCAAATGAGAAATGATGTACAAATTAATAATGAGAGTCCAGAAGCTCAGGAGGGAAGAGATAGACTTAACATCCTTGGAAGTTTTATGCTTCTCAAAAGTACCATTAACCAAAAGTGGTGGCTGAGCAAGGAAACAACTGGTGTTCCATGAGTGGTCATTCACAACCAGTCAGACTTGTGATCCATTTGTGTTCTGACTTTGTGCTGTTTCCCTCAGAGTTGCTAGATCACATTCCCTATGTTGACAAACTCTGAAAACTATTGTTCTTGTTGACCATAAATCACCAAGTGTTTTCCCAAGCGACAGGGATGTTGACTGAGACAAATGGGAATCTCCCACTGAGCTGCTGATGAATGAAGCAGGGATGCAGTGACCCAGTGTGGTGAACGTGCTTACAGATTTCTGCTCAAGCACTCTGAAAATAACTGGAGAAAAATAGTGATGGACATACCAGCAGAATCTTGACATGCTTGAGAAGTGAGCTGGTGGAAACTGGGTGGACAAGGGCTGGCAGAGACAGGACAAGGGGAATGGCTTTAACCTGATAGAGGGGAGATGGAGTTAAGCTCTTAGGCAGAAGCTCTTCCCTGTGAGGGTGCTGAGGCGCTGGCACAGGGTGCCCAGAGAAGCTGTGGCTGCCCCATCCCTGGCAGTGTTCAAGGCCAGGTTGGACACAGGGGCTTGGAGCACCCTGCTCTAGTGGAAGGTGTCCCTGCCCATGGCAGGGGGTTGGAGCTGGATGACCTTTAATTCCCTTCCAACCCAAACCAGTCTGAGATTCTCTGTCACACTGAGCTCCTCAAAGAGCTGGCCAGAAAACAGAATTCTTAGCTCTGCTTGTACTTGGATATCACATATTTGACTGTGCATGGTTTGGTACCTCTGGTCCTTGCTGGAAGGTGCCAAAGATGGTTTGTCCAGAGAAAGGCATGAAATAAACCCATTTCTTGCTGCCATCTTCCAGTTCTGCATTAGCTTGTTGCATACAGGTTGTTTCTCTTCCACTGCTTGCTGATGAAGACAGCAGCTGCATATTTAAACACTCTCAGACTTGCATCTGGTGCTGTTTACTTCAGTTTTCTTTTTTTTTTTTTTTGTGTTCTCCAACTTCATCCTTTCCCCAAAGTTACCCTGGCCTTCTGTGTGATTACAAACAGTGTGAATATGTGGAATTACATCTTAAGCATGTTTTAGTGCTTATAATATGATCTATGACAGTAACAATTGCTTTATGGAAAGAGAACATTTGATTTGCTTGGAGACTATTTATGTGGTTACTTGGGGGGGAGCTGGTTTGTTGAGCCTGGTCTGATGCTTCTGAGTGAAGTGACTTTGTAGGGAGAATTTAAATGTAAAATTTGCAACAGATGTTAGAATCAGTAATCAATTTTGCCACTAGAAATATGGAAGAATTTGACTCTTCTGCACAGCAACTGCTCTCCACCAGCTGTGTGCTTGTTTTAATGGTTTTGCTAATGAGACTTACGGTGTAAGGCTTTTGAAATGCAGTATGATGAGTGTTACAAAGGTATGGTGGTTAATATTAAGTTATTGTCTCTGAAATATATCATCATCTTTCAGTTTAGCTTACAGCAAGCAGCGATCCAAATGAGGCTTCAGCGAGATACTTGGCTACAGAGGGAGTGAAATCTTATTTCTTCTGTCTGTTCCAGTACCGCTTGAGTTTGCTTGCAGGCAAGAAAAGGAGAAAAATGTTCATAAACACACTTCACAATCAAACTGATCTGTTATTCTAAGCTTTTGATTGTTCCTGCGTGTCTTATAAAGAGAGGAATGTGAAACTGGGTGCGGGGAAGCAAGTTGTCTCTTGTCACCGGTGAGCCCTAGGCAGAGGTGAGAGTAAAATCCATGTTGTCTTAGTCCTTGTGCAATGCTTTGTCTGTTATCATAGAATCTCAGACTAGTTTGGGTTGGAAGGGACCTTAATACTCATCCAGTTCCAATCCCCTGCCATTGGCAGGGACACTTTCCATTAGACCAGGTTGCTCCAAGCCCCGTCCAACCTAGTCTTGAACACAGCTGAGTCCTGCATTTTCGCCTTGGATGAAACTGCTGTTAGATTTGCCAATGTAAGGAATGCAGAAATAACACATGGATTCAGTCTCTTCTGAAGCTGCTGAACTGCTGGAGTATCTTTTGTATGAATTTGTGGAGTTTATTTTCTTGTACATATTTGAATGCAGAAACCTGTGAATTAGTGACAGTACCAAAGATTGAAGCAAACTGGCAAATAAAAGGTGAATTTTTATTACTGCTTTTTTATACAATTAAGGCCTTTGTGATGGGTTCTGCAGCTTCTGTCCAATTTGTTCAGCCATTTCTAAGTGCAGTAGTCATGTGCAATTCCTGTGCTGACTAATTTGAGCATCTCCCTTTCTTATTATCCTTGAAGAGCTCTTGGTAGCTCATCTGTTTGGATGGTGGAGGAACTGAACTAGATTCATTGTAAATGATCTCCTCTAACTCCTTAGTTTGAAAACCTGAGGAGCATAGGGAGTATAGGTGGTGGTGAGCCCTGGAACTGGAGGGTTGATGATCCATAGTGCTGATGCAACTGTTTAGACTGTCAAAATCTGCTTCATTGCATCAATTTCATTCTGGCTTTGTGTTGAAATTTGCTTAACCATCTGGAGGAGCCATATCTTGCTGTAGGACTCTTCTGAAGAGTCCAACTTTCTGTGAAAGTGGGAGGATCTGACTGCTTTTCATAGAGATTAGGGCTCTGAAAGGATACTTTAATTTGAGACATCAGAGATTTAGGTAATGTCAAGCATAATCGCCCAAGGCAGACTTCTCAAGTGGGGAGTAAAAGGTGAATCCAGAGACACTTAAGGCCTTTTAAAACTCTTTGTTGTGATTTTCTTTTTGTAAGAAGCAATGTAATTTTTGAATCCATATGTCAGGCTTAGGGAGACCTTTGAAATAATCAAGGTTATTCCTTGGATACAGATTGGACTCAGACTCCTTTACAGAAGGTGAAGACTGTGCAGCATTGCGACCTTCTTCATCAGGCCTTTGCTAGGCAGCTTCCTGCCAATGCTTTTTGGCTGTGCTGGCAGTTGACGGAATAGAAGGTTGCTATTTTTGTTGCATTGGGCAAATCCTTCTGATTCTGCTCTAAATTCTCCATTTTCATGCATTGCTTCTGTTGTAGTTGTCTATAGGGAACAGACTTATGAATCTGATGGAGAAATACCACACTTCAAGTGAGGTGGGAACAACAGGACGCTGCCACTATGGCAAGGGAGAGCTCTAATGTTGTTTGTGATGCTTCTAGAGTGTCCCACCAGCTGGCTTACAGAGATGCCCGGTTACTTCATGTTCATGTTAGATGTTAGGCAGAAGTTCTTTCCTGAGAGAAGGATAAGGCCCTAGCACAAGTTGGAGCTTGGCTATTAAATAGGATGGGCAGGTAAAATGTTAAATTTTATTTACCCTTCTAGAACGTTTATTGCTTTAGAGCCTGACTCCTGAGTTAGAGCTTTACAAGAGCAGTAAGCTTGCAAGAATTGCTTAATCAATAAGAAAGAAATTTATTTCAGACTTCTTGTTTATGTTGTTCCTTGTTAAATGAAATGGGCAGGATTTTCAGCAAATCCTCGTGGGGGTTTTCAGTTCTATTCTTAGATGATTTGGACAAAACCCAGAAGAAAAATACTATAAATCCTTTGCTTCACAGCCTGTGAGAGTGATTTTTAAGGAGGTAATTATGTTTTTATGGCAGATTAAGCCCTGCTTTCGTTGTTGAACTCTTGAAGTTGCGTATGCTGGTTTGCTGTTTCCCAAGATAAGGAGTGTCACTTTATTCTTTTAAATCCAATAGCCCCTTCCCTGGTGTGGGTTGAGCTGTGTGCCATATTGTGCCATGCCATTGGTCTCACGTCCATCGTTACTGCATTGCCGGGTGCTGCTGTCTGTGATTTACACCAGTGCAAGTGCTGACATCTTGTCAAATCTTTTTACCTTACAGGCTTGATGCCTCTTTGTTTTTCATCATCTTACAAGTCCTCACTCAAATCATCATTATTTCAGGGTTATTTAAAATGTGGTTTAGTCTTCCCATTGCTGAGCAAAAAGCACTGATTTTGAGGAATGTTCTTTTAGAGTCCTGCAAAATTTCATGTTGTTGGCTGAGATTTCCAACTATAGAGGTCTGTAAGGAAGCATCCAAGTCTTTGGCTGTGTGTATAAATAACTGCTGGGATGGCTTATAAATACTGAATGCCTGGCAACTGACATGGGGGAGACTGGGATCCTGCATTGGATCCAAAGGGAGTTGGGTGAATGGTGAGTTCATTCTTTAGCCAGAAGCGTTTTGCTGAAGCTGGCCTCTGTCTTTAAACATGCTCTTACCCCTCACCTTTCTTTTGCACATCTGAATGTCATTCAAGTTTCTTCTGTAAGTTCCTAACTCTGTGTGTTAAGAATTGGGCCACGGAGATGCTGCAGGGCTGGAGCAGCTCTGCTCTGGAGACAGGCTAAGAGAGCTGGACTTGTTCAGCCTGGAGAAGACAAGGCTCCTTAAGGGAAGACCTTAGAGCAGCTCCAGTGCCTAAAGGGGCTACAGGAAACCTGTAAGCCTTCAGCAAGGCTCCAAGTTTGTGCCCAGGGCCCACTGACTTTGAAAGGACTTACACCAGAATCTTGACAGGGGATGCTCTTGTGAAGGCTCCCACACAGAGGCAAGATCAGGACCTTTGCTGCATGGGCATCTCCAATTAAGCACAACAACAGTCACACGGGTTGGAGCAGCAGCTGCCACAGCAGCAGGGACCTGCCACGCAGGCACCAAGTGACAAGCACTTTGTCCAGCTCCAGCTGCTGCTCTTCATCACAAAATGAGGAGGAGCACAGGAGCTCAGCCAGCAGCTGACCTGCTTGGCCACTCTGGCTCCATCCCATCTGCAAGACATTCCCTTTGCCAAAGAGGTGCAAAAATAACAAGGCAGGAGAATCACTGCCTTGCTCTCATCTGCCCATAAAACTGATTGCTTTTTAAGCTGAGCAGGTACCTCTGATTTCATCTAGGCCAGTACTTTGTGTGTTATGTCACAGGATGGGGTAGACATACTTGTGTCTGATCATGTCTCTGAAAGAGAAGAGGCATTCAGAGCTAGTCTTGCAATGGGGAAGAGCTGAAACCACCCTCTGGGACTTCCCACACCTTTCTTTCATTTCACATTCCCTAAAACATCCTAGCTACAGCTCCCCACTGGTGTGTCCCTTTACCTCCATGGACTATATCTCAGGCTTGACTGCTTGACTAACAATGAGGGTACCTGGTGTGGTGATCCTGGAGAGGCATCTTTTCAAACATGTTATTTAATAGTGCAGTTGTAACCCTGGCAGTGCAAGGAAGTCAAGAGAAGGACAAGATTAAGAACAAGCTACAGACAAGGAGGGGAGCCCAAGAGAAGGAGGAAAGTTTGCCTCAAATCAGAATCACCGAATGTTTGGGTAGGAAGGGACCTTAAAGCCCATCCAGTTCCAACCCCACCTTCCACTAGAGCAGCTTGCTCCAAGCCCCTGTGTCCAACCTGGCCTTGAACACTGCCAGGGATGGGGCAGCCACAGCTTCTCTGGGCACCCTGTGCCAGCGCCTCAGCACCCTCACAGGGAAGAGCTTCTGGAGCTGGTGCAGGGTCCAAAAAGAGGGTGGTGGTGACTCTGAGGTTGGTTTTCTCCCCCTCCTGGAGATGACATGTGGACAACTGTTGCGCTGTCAGATCCTAGGTGAAGAGAAAGGGTTTAGTGCTGCTCTGCAGTTGATGCTGGGTTGAGTTCTCTTGCTTTCCTAGCAGTAAACTCAAAGTCCTAGGCTTTGCCTTGGTTTTACAGCAGAGTAGCTAACATGTTAATTATTCTATGGTAATATATACCTTTTTTAACAACGAAGACAAAGCCTCAACTGGTGTATTAATAGCAAATGCTTGAACAATATATGTTTTTAGTAGCTACCTACGCAGCATAACCTATTCAGGTTTTTTCTTTAATGCCTGCTAGCCTGAGAAAAGGAAACTGAAAACTTTTGTGCTCTCTGCTGAGTTAATCTTTAAAAGGAAAAAAGCCCTCCTCTCCTGTGCAGCTCTGCTCAGCAGAATGCTCTCAGGTGTTTGCAATGTGACTTCTAGGAGGACGTCATCCTTCCAGTGCCTGTATTCAGGGCTGGCTGTGTAGTGATAGATGAGCCCGAATGAAATGACAGGCCCTTTATTTAAGGGGAGGGCCCTGGTTGCCAGAGGAATAGATTAATCTGCTATCCAAGGGCGCCGAGTCTTTCCCTGAAGTTGCTCTCTGGGAGCGTGATGGGTGCCACAGCTCATCTGCAGAGCTTTTGGGAACCTGGAGGTTCCACAGGGCTGGATTTAGGAGAGGCAGAAGTGATCTCCAGTTCTCGTACAGAGACCCTGTCTTCAGGCTGAACTGGAAGCTTCGGAAAGCTGTGAAATTTGGGGGGTGCTGGCATTTGAGATTTCTTTTTGCTGTGTTTTGGATCTTTTATCCTTTTGTGGGATTTTATGCATAAAGATGTGTCTTATTGAATGTGGTGAAAAGCTGCTTGGCTGCAGGGTTGGTTTTTTTTTCTGATCACATCCCTGTGACAAGTAATTTCCAAGTGTGAAAATTGCTTTGATATCTTTATTCAGGACTCGCTCACTTAGGAAGGAGTTGCATAACCTGAACAAGGGAACTGAACTGAGTCTGTACAGTGGATGGCTTCTGTCTTCACAGGGGCTCTCACTGGGAAAGGGCAGCTGCCTCCTGCCACTGTGTGAGAGCAAGGAGCCTGCCCAGAGCCCCAGCACCATGCGGGGCTGTGGGGTGATGGCACGTGTTTCATTTCTTATCCTGTTCTGTGTCATGATGAAAGCAGGTTCTTGCTTCCTGGGAAGCTAGAGAATGCATCCTGAAGTCAGTTTACAAGTCAAGCTTTTCCTTGAAGGAAGTAAGAAATACTAATGGAACTAAGAACTGGGCTTATTTTCCCTTGTGCCCTGTTCTGGCATTCCAGGGCTGCTGGGATTTCGGAGGAGCTTGGAAAGACGTTAGCAAGAGTTGCCTAAAGGAAAAACTGCTTTTTCCCAGGTTGGTTCTTCATTACTTTATCCTCAAACGTTTGGGGAACAGAAGGCTGAGCTGGACCTTGTTGAGTTGCATTTTTGGGACCCCATTAAAAAAAGGTGACAGTTGCTACACGGGTTTCAGAATGCAAGGAGAGAGAAAGTGCAATATCTCTGTTTCTTGAGCATGTTGCCAAGACTGATGTGGTTTATGTTGTCCTCCAAAGGGTAAGATTTGAAAGACTTGGGGAAGCAAGTCATAGTGTGGTATGTACCAAAGTGGTTCTTAGTCATTTTCCTGTTTTTTAAGGTATTTCTTGCACAATATTCTGTATTAAGTTGCCTTTAATGGACCAACTGCCACATATGATCCCAAAAGAAACCCCACACACTGTGTTTTAGTGCAGTCTGTAGGGAGGTAACCTGAGCAAAGGATCAGGGAAGCAAGGCCTATTTGTGTAAGATTGCTCAGTTTCTACCCATATGCTCAGCATCCTGTGCAGGCAAAAGCACCTCATTAGCGGCTTTTTATATCCAAGATTGTGGGTTGAGGCTTGGAGAAGTTTGTTAGAACTGGGCAGGAGCACAGAAACATGTAGTCCCGCTGCTCCTGAGCACTGTGCATTGGCTTGAAGGAGCATCTCCCACCGTGAAGGACTCAAAGTACCTGCTGCTAATTGTCTTTATGGAGCAGTACCTTTCCTGGTGCTATTTTGGCAGTTCCTAAGGATGGGCATTGTGCTTCTGACATATGTTGTGACCTCAGCTTGTTGCCATATAGGCATCGTGCCATATAACTGCTCTGATGGCCTCCATGGTTTTCATAGAATTACTTTAAAAGTTATTCTGACTCCCCAGCCTTGCAAAGATTATTTGCTTCAGCACATTCAACTGTTCTCTCTGCAACCAGTTCTTCACTGAGCTCTGAATTGCTGGTTATTTAATCTCCATCAATTATAACCTGATAGGTGGTAGGGCTCTCACTCCAATGGCCCCAGCACAGCCCCTTTCCTGGCAGGGTGATCTGCTGCAGGAAGAGCTTCTTGGTGTAAAATAGATGTGGTTCCACACTTTCAACTTTCACTCATTCAAAGGTTCCTTATCACATTATTTCTTCTTTTCCTGCTAATGTTATTCTGATGGCTGTGTGAAGGGAAATAATGGTTGCTTTCTGTGGAATTGTGGGGTGTAAAGCACTGCAGCCTGGTTTTCTATCCTGATGCTTTAGATCATTAAAATCTCAGGGCTTAAGCTCTTAATTCTTGTTCTTCAGTGCTTACAAGAGGATCTCCTGGGGCCCTATTGTACAACCAAATACAAATAATACATGAATAAAACAGGATCGTGTATTTGTACCGCCAGCAGACTGTAAGGATTATTTATATCTAACACTTTGTGGTATTAGGCCCTTACTCCTTTTAATATGTCCCTTCTACCAGCTTTTCTCTCTTCCCAGACAACACTTGAGAGATGTTGCCCTCTGGAAAGATGTTTCTTCAGTCACAATATTAATTTCTGATTTTGCTAGCTATTTTTTTTCTGTATCCCTTTGGCAGTGTTTTACTTTCTCTACCCACTTCTTTCACCACCAGTCATGATTAGTTAATACAGCTTTTGTGCTAGTTCAGTTATTGAAGTGATGGATAATACACACAGGCTGCTGTTATTGCTTGCCAGTGCTGCCCTGTGGGGGAAAAAGCCCTTTTAATGCACTTGTAGCATTTTTAGTTTTATGAAGTACTTGAACTTTAGAGTTAGTCTTCTAAAATCATCTAGGATGTATATTGGAGGGTGTTAAAAATGAGATTTAAATGGCAGAAAAAAAACAGCTCCTTTCATATAAGCCTTCATTGAACCACTTGCTGAAGCACTGTGCTTAATTTGTGTTAGAAAATGTTGTGATAAAAGTAAGCTGAAACTGTTTCATCCTCTCCACGAAACTGTTCCTGCAGTACCATGTTCACTTGGCACTGGCACCATTCCTCCTGTGTTCAGGCTGTTAGCCTGAGCTTTGAACCATTTTTGGTGGCACTTATGTTTTGTCCCTCTGCAGAATGTGTGTGACATCATAGAATCCCAGCCTGGTTTGTGTTGGAAGGGACCTTAAAGCTCATCCAGTTCCAGCCTTCTGCCACAGGCAGGGACCCCTTCCACTAGAGCAGCTTGCTCCAAGCCCCTGTGTCCAACCTGGCCTTGAACACTGCCAGGGATGGGGCAGCCACAGCTTCTCTGGGCACCCTGTGCCAGCGCCTCAGCACCCTCACAGGGAAGAGCTTCTGCCTAAGAGCTCACCTCAATCTCCCTTCTGTCAGGTTAAAGACATTCCCTCTTGTCCTGTCCTTAGATCCCTTGTCCAAAGGTTAAAACTGGGTGATCTTAACGTCCTTTCCAACCCTAACTATTCTATGATTCTATCCCAGTGGTAAATGATTTGAGGTTTTGTGTTGGAGAGTTCAGTTGCAGCTCTCCTTAGTAGCTTCTGCTTCTGGCTTGAAAAATGTAATAAACCAAGCAGTGTGCATGCTTCCCATGGCACTGAAGTTCAGGTAACCTTGTGCCACAGGCATGTCATGGGTAACAGGGAAGGAAGAATCTCTTGGCTCAACCTGAGCCTAAACCTGGACTCTCTGGTGCAGGAGAGTCTGATTCCAGCCCTGGGATTCAGCCTGGCCCCAGCTGTGGAATCTTAGGTTGCCATGGATTTGTTGCAGTGCTCTTTTACTCCGCATGTCTGGTGCCTTTGTCACGTTTTACAGTGTGTCAAGGAAGGAAAATGGGTTAATTAAAAAAACAGTTTGCTGGAAGATTGCTCTGTAAAAAAATCCCAGAGATAAGTGAAATAAAACTTTGGTGGAAGATGAAGGGAAAGAGAGAGAAAAAAATGGAAACAGGCAGATGAAGCAGCAAGATGATTTGTTCCATGGCCAAGTGCTTGTATCAGTAGTAGAAGGCCTTTTTTCACCAGTCACTTCTGTGGTGAGCAGCTCCTAAAGGGGAAAATCAGAATAAGTCCAAGGAAAGAAGTGCTCAGAGGGCTCTCTGCCACTGTGCACAGAAATACGTCTCCAAGAGGCACTGGTGGGATGAGGAGCTATGACACTCAGCCATGGGATGGTCCAGGCAGAAATCCAGGTGCCCTGTGCAGAGGGTAACGAGCGTGGATGCTGTTCTTGTAGTTATTAGTGCTGCAGCTACTGTGCGTGTTCCTAATGGTTTGCTCCAGACCTTTTGTACGTCATAAGCAGGGTGTTTTCAGTGCTTCCTGGTTGTGACATTGTCACTTTGTGCTTCCAATAAGATGTTCCAGTGTCTAAAGGGGCCAACAAGAAACCTGGAGAGGGGCTTTGGACAAGGGCCTGTAGGGACAGGACAAGGGGAAATGGCTTTAACCTGCCAGGAGGGAGACTGAGATGAGCTCTCAGGCAGGGGGTTAGAACTGGATGAGCTTTAAGGTCCCTTCCCACCCAAACCACTCTGATCATGGGAGAGCCTTTTCTTGGCGATGTTGTGCCTGGTGTGCTGGAAGAGTTGACGGGCAGGGGCACACAATGGTCTGTCCCCTGTCTGAAATTCACCAGTGCCAGATGATCCGGATGGAGGAAATAAAATATCTGTCTAGCAACTAATGGTGAGATTTTTATGTTTGGGGAAGCAGACCAAAGAGAGAAACTTCCTTCTTGTTTTCCCCTTAAGTTAGAGATGCTGTTGTAAAAAACAAGTGCTTGGATATATAAAAGATAAGTCTTTGTATGGAAAAAGGCAGCTCAGCTTGCAAATGCTGAGTAGCTGCTTTCTTAGAAGAACAAGGGAGGTGGCTTCTGGTTTGGGTTTGCTTTGGTTTACCCCTGGGTTCTTGGAATAAATGAATGATATTTTTTTGTATTGTTAATGTAATTTTGCCTTTATTTCAGCACGAGTGCACTGTTTACAGACTGACACTGGTGAAAGCTTGGAATGGATGCACTCAAAGCCTATGCTGATCTGATATCCCTTGGTAAACCAGGCTTCATCAAGCTGCATGGAGCCATTTTATGTTTTTTCCATCAGTATATTACTCTCTTTCCTCTTTCCTCCCCTTTTCCTCCTCCCAGTCTTAAACTGATACGAGCAAATGCAACTCTTCCACGTATTTCAGCGGTACATAAGGAACTTATCTTACATGCAAGGAACTTACCTCTTGCTTTTAATTTTAGGCAGCCAGATATGCTAGCTTATGTGTGCATTTGGCTAATCTTCAGTGTTAACACAAACAAGCATTGTATCAGCCAGCATTAATTTCTGCCCAGTGGAATCAGACCCTCTGATCTTTTCTGTATTTCTCATGAAAGCGGAGACTGATAAATAGATATTCCTTCTTTATGTCAACCAACCTTTTAAACAAAATATTCTGGGACAAGCTGGGAGTTTCTGGTCTAGTTCTTCCCATCCTGCTTTCAAATTCTGAGCAGGAAAAGGTGATAAATGTCTGCTTTGCTGATGTGATACTTGTCTGGCTGTGCAAAACAGGGGGAATACTGCCTCTGGGACTGGAAGAGCTACTACCAGAAGCATTGTGAGATGCAGCGGAGCAGGAGGGGTTTTATCTTGGAGTTAATCAATGTAGTTCCTAGAGAAGGTAAAAAAGACACATTACAAAGTGTTCTATAAAGAATCACTATCAGCACTTTCACCCAGCAACTCCCCTGCAGACCAGCACATTTACCTGGGGAATGTCTTTTTGTAATGCTGTTATTCCTGGACTTCCCTTTCTCTTTTCTTTCTCTCTTTCCTGATTTTTTTTTTTTTTTTTATTTTTTTCCCCCAACCTTTATTTACTGCTGCTGTAAAGAAAAAACCTGGAGTTTAATGTAATTTCCTCATGAAACAAACCCCAAAGGTTTTGATACTGTCAGTATCAAGAGGTCTCTCTCTCTCTGAATGCGCTGCTGAAGTTGATAGCTTAACACTAAATAAGATTTTGAGTATGGTTTAGGGAAAAAGCCTGTTTTACAATGTGTAACAGACTACTTTATATTCCTTAGGTAAAATCCAGTATAAGATGTTTCCAGCATGCCAGGAGGGCAGAGATGAGTGTGCATGTTAGCATGGAGTAGGAGTTGTCAGTGTATGTGCCACTTAGTCTGCTCTGTCATGGGTAGAGACTTTAATTAGTAAAATGAATCAGATGTAAATTAATGTTTGTGGGCACAGATTTATGATTCTATGAGTTCTGTGATACCCCTGAGCACTCTCCAGGGTGAACATCTGGCTCCTCCAAAGCAGGGACTGCTGTTCCCTTTGCCTAGGGAAGGATTCAGCCTCATCCTTGTGGTTTCCCAGTAGCGTGAAGCTCAGCTCTCCCAGACCCTCTTCCCTGATAAAATCATGCCTTGGACTGCCAGGGAAATAGGTGAGAAAACAAGGTGGTTGCAGATATACTCTTATTCACAGATGCTGTCCTGGGTTCAGCAGTAGCAGTCATTTTTCTCCTTGGTAGCTGGTGCAGTGCTGTGTTTTGACTTTCGGGCTGGGAACAGAGCTGATAACAATGATGTTTTGGTTTGGCCAAGGACTTTGTGAGCCTCATGCTCTGCCAGGGAGGAGGGGAAGCCGGGAGGAAGCAGAGAGAGGACACCTGACCCAAACTGACCAAAGAGGAATTCCATACCACAGCACGTCATGCCCTGGATGTAACTGGGAGTTACCCAGAAGGGCACGGGGTCTTCTGGGTTGGACTCATTTTTTGGTGGGTGGTATTGTATTCTCTTCCCTTGTTATTTTCTCTTATTATTGTTGCCGTTGGTGGTAGCGGTGGTGATTTTTGTTGTACATTGGTTGCTGGACTGTTCTTACCTCAACCCGTGGGAGTTGCATTCTTTCAATTCTCCTCCCCATCCCTCTGGGAGCGGGGAAGGGGGGAGCCCCCAGGGGGCAGGGGGGACATGGGCCTTGACTGCTTCCAGCCTGGCACCACTCACTGGGTTTAAACCATGACAGATGCACAGACTGGTTTGGGTTGGAAGGGGGCTTAAAGTTCATTCAGTTCCAACCCCCTGCCACAGGCTGGGGCACCTTCCGCTAGAGCAGGTTATTCCAAGCATCGTCCAGCCTGGCCTTGAACACTGCCAGGGATGGGGCAGCCACATCTGGGCATCTTCCATCTGGGACAAGATACTGCCCATACTGCTTCAACCAAAAAGGTCATCTTTGCACTCCAGGTGCTTCAAAGTGCTTGTTGGATCTCAACCAGCGAGGACTTTTCTCTGAGAAAGAGTATGTGTACACTTTGCTGTCTTTACAAAAGTATGAGCTGATGCAGAGAGGGGCTGTGTGATGTTCCTGTAGCACATCTGGGTCATTCAGCAGCACTCATGTACCTGCCAACACTAGCTGTTAAGGGAGTTCAGAGGGGCTGCAAGAACACAAAAGGCAGAGGGGTACGGGGGAAACACCCTGTCTATTGAGTCTTTTGGGGACTTCTCATGGACCGAAACAAGGGTGAGTTTGCTACATCTGGTTTTTGTTTGTTTGTGGTTTATAAAGTGTGTGCTGCTCAGTGTTACTGACTTAAACTCAGGATGCCCTGCTCTAAATGTCGTATTTCCAGAAATACATTTCTGACTTTCCAGCAGATAAATTAATTTCTGCAAGTGCTGGAGGATAGAGTGTGCCCCCAGGCATAAGGTGATCCTGGCCCGAGAGTGGTGGCCTTCAAGCTAAGGCATAGAACATCTCATGCCTCAGTTTCTTTCTCTGTTCAGGATTTAGCGTTGTGCCTGTACTGTGGCCCTGAAACTATCTGTAGCTGGCATATAGACAGTCTTTCGTCTTTCCAGTCCCAGGAGCAGTACTTGGGGAAACTCAGGTTGGAGCCTTCTCAAAGGATGCACCATACAGCAAGTCTGACAGCAGCACAGCCCTGCAAGCCTGAAGTGAGCAGCTGAATACAGGAAAGCTCACTGATTTCTTCCCAGCTTCAGCAGCAGAAATGAGTTGTCAGGGAGCTCCACCTCATGCACCAGCAGGCTCTAAAGTAGTTTCCATTTTATTCTATTTAATTGAGGTTTTTTAATAGAGCTGTGCTGTCCTGTTATCTTAATTTTGAAGAGGGGAAAGCAGAGTTCATGTGTGTGAAGGGTGAAGCACACTCCTGAGAGCAGCATTGCTGGAGCATCGTTTCGCAGCAGGAGCTGAACTTTTATTGCTGCCTGAAACAAAGGGTGCAACTCTGTGGTTGTATTTGGGGTCTAAATGGCATTTCCATCCTTCTAAACAGTCATAAAACTTTGTGATGGCTTCTCTTGAGCAGCGTCTCTTGCTTGCATTAGACAGTTTAAATAGACCTGAAGTTTGGGGTACCTGGAGCCTGGTACCCCCTGGTAGCTCTGGGTAGTACCTGGTAGCTCTGGGGCTACCAACACAAGAGGGATGTGGAGCAGTTGAAGTGAGTCCAGAGGCCATGGAGATGCTGCGAGTGCTGGAGCAGCTCTGCTCTGGAGACAGGCTGAAAGTTGGAACTGGATGAGCTTTAGGATCCCTTCCAACCTAAACCACTCTGTGATTCTGCGATTGGATGAAAGTTCTTGCTCACAGGTTTTATGTGAGATGTTTGTTTAACAGTTGCCTTTCTTCCTTGCCTCTTTGGAGCAAGCGTAATGTTCCAAAAGGTGGGCACTTGGTGCTCTGCAGAAAGGAAGTAGCTCACACTAAATATAGCATTAGCCCAGTCAGTGGCCTTATTTGTTTCGCATAGTTTCATCTGCCAGTTCCTGTGGAACAGCAGCGTTCCTGAAGTGTGGACGATTTGTCTCAGTAGGGGGGCCCAATAGCTTTCTCCTCTTGCTGCACTGTCTGTGAGTTTGAAATGTGGGGGGATTACATGGTGTGGAATCAATTTCTCCCTTTTCTTGGCCAGAAGGAATAAGCAGCACATCCTGGAGCAGCTGATGAACAATGAGTTGTGTTGCTGTGGGGTAGTAAGAGCGTCTAGCCAAGGAAAAGCTGATAGAGGGGATGTCTTCTTGAGGATGGCTTCCTTCTTTGGTCTGAAATGTGGACTGATTGCTAGTGGTGTAGCCCCCGGGCTGCTGGAGATATTCATGTTCCTGCTGTGCCTGCTCTCAGACCCTCACCCCATGGTTTAACCTGATGAAATGAGCAGCTTATCCTCCTTTGCACTTTGCAGACAGATTGTTTTAATCTGGTCATCTTTTATTCTGACTTGTAAAGCTCTTGTCCAGTGTCTTACCTGTGAGATCAGCCTTCTCTAGAGCAGGATCACTGGCGGGGATTTATGCTGCAGTGGGTTTGGATGCATCTGTTGATCAAACTGCTCTGTTGATCAAACTGAGGTCAAGACAGCTGCGGTCTCTGTCCTTGTGAAGTTTGGCTGCTCTGGAATAAAAGGTGAGCAGATCTCAGCAAAGGAGAACAGCAGAAAAGGGGCTCTGTTTTATCCCCCAGAAGCCTAGGAGGTTGTGATTGTGCAGACAAAGCGTGTATAGGCAAGGTGACCATTTAGAATCCCCAGCATTCAACGTGGTGCTTGGTACAGTATGACATCAACTCAGGAGTTAAATTCTGACCCAAAGGTGGATAGGTGGGGTTGAGGTTGTTCAAATCCAGCTCATTGCTGTCAGTATTCACTTTCTGCACTGTGTATTGATCGGATCTGGACAGAGACTCCTGCCAGCACAGAACTGGCCTTTTGTCCAGCCCCAACAGTTGTGTTCACACAGAGTTTGGAACCTGAGAATTTTCCCCCAAAGACTTGGTATTTTTGATTAAATGCAATTTCTGGTATTCTTCTGAGAATGAAGTGTATTGAAGAATCATTTTGCTGCATGGACAATGCTTAGGTTTTACTTTTTCTTTTTCAAATCCCACAGTGATATGTTAAAAAGGCATAGAGCAGGTCTGGCTCAAAGCAAATAGACACAAAAATACTACAAGATACAGCAAAGCATCTGCCAGAAAACGAGTCTCATCTCAGCAGGATTTCCTGGTTAAATACTTGAG